CACAAATTTCATATTACAGAGTGTGTGCGGCATTTAAGCCTTCCTTACGGAAACCAAAGTTTTCTGATCTACATCCTTTCAAATTTACCACTTTCTCTTTGAAAAGCCGAATAATTTCTATGCAATCTGTTTTAACCTACACGTTAATTGCAAACTGAACGAAAATAATTTGCTTTCCTTCCCGACAAGATAATCTATCCGTTAATCACGGCTTAAAATTTTTCAGTTGAAGTGTTAACCCTCGTTTCTTCAAGTAACTGATATGCGACAACAACAGAAGTGCCTTGTAAGCTCTTCAACCTAAATTCTTTTCCATCCGTCGGTAATTCAAGTATTTTAGTTACGCTGACTGTGCGGTGAAGATAGGAACGTTTCATCTTATTAATGTAACGCAATCCATCGGCAAATATCACAGTCTAAAGCCAAGAACTCAAATGTTTGATTTAAGGAGGTCTTCAGTGGCTCTCACCGGTTAATTTGGGACATCTTGAAGATAGTGTAGGTTTAACGAGCATAAGACAGCAATGGCGAAAGGAAATTGGCAAAGAAGAGGCGAAGAATGTTCGTAGCACTTTTACGATCACTTGTATGATGTAAAACCTTCAAATATATTTTTCAGTCAGTCAGTGTTCAAATTCGTTTCACAGAAAATGATGGTGGTCTTTACTATTATTTCAGCTTCTTCCGTTTCCTCTCGAGACCTAAGAGGCGCTTTAAATCTGGCACTTATCAACTTGTTTCGCTCACTAGAAAAGTCAATGGCCGCGCGCGAGTGTTTTTCGACGAACAGCAAAAGGTCACAAGTTCTTGCGTGAAATGTGTTTTCTTTACTTCATCCAAAAAGGCTTTCAAATGTTTCAGTCATTCAGCGGTTTTCCCTTTTTTCTTACAATGAGACAGAGCAAATATTGAAAGAGACATTGAAACTTTGTTCTTGTAAATTGTCGAAGTGTATTTAGAGTTTAAACTTAATGCCGACTTTCTAGAAGTAAATTATAAAGCAGAAAATAATTGAAGAGTTTGCAGGAAAATAAAGAAGAAACTAACGGCAGTTTCTCCAGCTGCTCCAGCCCAAAATTTAGGTGATTTGTTTATCATCAGTATCATTCTAGCAAAGATTCAAGCCCGGAATGTGGATGAGTTGAAGAATTTAGTCAAACCATCAAGAAAATTAGCTTGGTTCTAGTCTTGTAGCTGTGTTTACTACTTGCTTCAATGTGCCAATATATTAATCAAGATTAGATGATAATCGGATGAGAAAGCAATTCGCCAAATTGTTTTTGATGAGGTACTTGACAACGAGACATTTTTAAGTATGCTTCAGTGTAGCATGCATGCAGTTGCCTTTCATATAGCTGTATGTCTCTCCCTTGCAACATAAAAATCGCTTGAGTGCTACTCTTTTCATGGAAAAGTAAATAACACGTACGTGCCACAAGTCATTTCAGTTGTTGATATAAAAAGAGACTGTGGTTGGAAACAGGAGACGCCATGTTGTTTTTATTTAGATACTACTGACGTCATGGAACCTGAAGTGAATTACAAATCGTCTTTAGGAGGATTACAATTAATTTCTAAACACAAATGTAGAAAAACAACCCGGTCTATCTGTTAAGCGCTGCAAGTAGAAACACGTATCTCCAATTAGATGCCTGGATTAAAGGGATAAACTGTCTAAAAATACTAAAACTGCCATAAATAGTCACTTCCGAATGGCAACACGAAGCTCTAGCAGCAAAGCAGTAAAAGTAAACAAATCATTCTCATTTTTCTTTCGTACATCGTTTATTATTTATTTGTGGAAATATTTCATGTACAGAACACAACAACAACCGGTGCATTGCGTGCCTTCACTGAACATTTTAGCGACAACAGGATGTAAATTTTTGTCATTCGTCTGAAACGCGACGTCACACAAATCAACTATTTCCTTCTCTCAAGAGAAGTAGTTAGTAATTAAAAAATTTCTCTCCACCTACGCTCCAAACTATTTCGCTTCCGTTGAATGTTACAATTCCCACATAACATTCTAAAAACACTTCTGAAACGCCCAACAACGCTTGTTGTTTTACACCCGGAAACTACCGCGTCAATTTTATTAACTATTTTAATAAAGCGTTGCTGTTTTTGTTGTAGTTGTTTTTGTTATGTTTAATTTTTTTGTTGTTGTTGCGTGTTTTTGTCTCAACTTCGGACATGAGCAGCTGGGTCGGTTAAAAAGGCATGAATGGGCAATATAGAGTGAAAGATTCCTGGGCGTCTTTTACGAGGAAAGATATGAATATTTGGACCTTTCACGGGACATGAAAGATATCTATCCTTGGACTTCTCACTCTTCCTGATCGTATGATATTGCCTTTTAAAAACCACAGAAGGAAAATAATATGTTATTTTGGTGTGGAGGGGAATGAAAGCCTGGATAACTAAGAGGAAAACAATCTCTATTTTGAATTCTTTTGCCTTAACTTGAAGTATGACCTATATGGTATTTTATTCATGGCTACATTGCCCAGAATACGTCATACTATAACAAGATTCCTTGTCTGTAGTTATTTTTATGCCTTTTAATTTACTAACAAGATATGCATGGAAAGCATCCCTCACAGACATCGTTGTCAAATCAAATCATAACTTTTACTTTCAACGATGGAGGAAGGAAGTACTTCTAGTGGTTAGAGAAGAGAGTATTGAATTCGTACTCTAACATTTTCTTTGGACGGAATAATATCAGTAATTCTGCCACTCGCCAATTCCGTTTTCAGTTTGATAATTTTTTTCCAATGAATTCCTTGTTTATTTCACATCGTCTCATTTGCGAACCGTAAACTCAGGTGTCAAAGATTGTCACTATCAATTGTAGAGCCAAGAAACCAGCTGAAGATCAGTCGCTATGTTAAGCTTCCTGTGCGTCTAAACTTCGCCTGACGTAAACTTGAAGAAGAGATTTGCTAATAAACGTTTATTTCATTTTAACTAGGATGGAAAACAAACTTATATTTTACAATCTTCAGGTATCATTTGTTTGTCGTTGCTCGTTAGTCAATAGCTTGAAAAGTTCAAACGCAAAAATGTCGTATTTCCTGATGAGAAATAAACTGTTTTCTTATCTTTTGTTAGCGGAATCCTCGTTCATTTTACCAAAGGAAATATTTTCGCCATCGTATCATATCATCATAGCTATTTCCGGATTTCAAATTTTCCTTCATTCTTAAAGTTTTATTTCATGACGTGCCTTGCAAGTCAGTTGTTAAATTAAATTCAAAACAAACCTATTTATCCATCATATATGCAGAAATTCACGTTGAGTGCTCGTCTCCTCTTGCTCTTCGCTCAGGATAAAGGTATTAGGACGGTTGCCTCTCTTTTCCGGGAGAAAATCAACATTAGCGAGTTACCTAGGCGACTGACTCAGGGTAAATACCAAAAAATAATGTCAAAAACTGCTGACTATTGAGGTCGCTTATTCTCAGCTAAGACAAAGTCAGCGAATATTAACAACTCTTAAAAAATGTCGTTCAAGGTTGGTACTTGTTGAAAGCAGTTAAGATTTCGGAAATGTTCGGGCTCTATTCGTAACATCTTCGAGTAGTCATGGATGAGTTTTTCCGAACAATACGCTAACATTCGTTTCGGTATGATATTTGACCACTCGCTCGCGTGACGCTGTAAGGAGGGTTTCCGCTATATTGTGGGATCACTGACGTAACTTGATTTAATACAATTGCCGACGACATCAGAATACAATGCAATGAGCAATTAGCTACTTCAGATTCCATCTTTAATGAGATCTGGAACAAAAAATAACAAACCGAAAATATCTCGGCAAGAAATAAATGACGTCAAATATTATGAAACCGCCTGCTGCAATAAAAAGCGGTGTCAAGTCATAGTAACTACAAGACGGTATTTCGCGCCAAAGCGTTACCACATTAACGCTGCTTCTGAAACTGTGGCTGTATAGCAGAATTTTGTAGGATCTTTCCACAAAGAAACAAAAGATCTCGCAAAGCGGAGAATCATTTAAAAGGTAGGGGGAACTGATGTGTAAAATCGGCTTGTTATGTTACAGCATTAAGATCAAATTTGTTCAGCGTAAACGAGAAGAGTTGAATACATAATGAGTAGTGTTTCGTAAATGTATACCGAGTCCTCTATGTGTGTACAAGTACATTATTTGATTTCATTTTATTATTGCAGTGGGTGGTTGGTTTTCTGTAGTGCTTTTCCGAATGTGATTTCCTTTCAACAATAACTGCTGTAAAACATACTTTCTTGAGTGACAAATGTCCTCTATGTATATTCTTTAATGATCTTGACCTTTGAATTTACAGATGAATAATCGTAAGACTGAAGAAAAAAAAAACCTAAAACGAAACAAATAAAAGCAAATTACGCATGGAAACTATGTCCTCGCCGTTCGCCTGTTCGTGTGTGGTCACGAGATTCCAAATATACATTTCAAAAGCTGACATTACTTTACAAATTTAACTTGCTTTTGTAAGCATAATTTACGTCACTGCTCATTCTCAAAAGAACCCCTATTTCAAGCTATTTTCTCTTCTATCAGGGCGACTGCCCCTAACTGACATAACGTTGTGTGACAAGTTTTGCAAGTGAACGAATGATATTTTTAATATTCAGCTAAATGGTAATGGAAATCACACGAACATCGATTTAATGTGCCCTCTGTTAAAGTGAGCCCATCTTGCCAATCTCATCAACGTAAAAAGTAAGTAGCTTCGTTCTTTTAAACTGATAATTCATAAATCTTAAGCTTTTCCAGTAACTAGAACGTAAATGCTTTATTTCCTGATGCCGTGCTTTGATTGAGTCACTTGCTAAAATTGGAATTTTGTTACAAATGTCTAACCGCGTTTTCCGTTTCTCTGAACACCACTTTGTTCACGGAATTGGCATAATGCACTGATTTTAAGCTTTGAGACCTGCTGAAAATTAATTTCTCAGTTCCGTAAAGACGAGGTTATGGAGTCACTACTTGCTAAGATATTAAATTTTATTGGCGGATATCCAACAGTTTTCCGTTTCATAACCCGTCTGTTCTATCGTTATCCACTTGACTTGCTGTTAACACGCTACAATTCACTCACGCCATCGTCTCAATTTGATGAGTCATTTTGATTTCAACAAAGACATCCGGTTCTCTGGTTTTGTGACTTGATTTGTTTCTAATGAAGAAAAAAGGAAACATGTATTCCTAATGTATTGTTCGTAAAAGAAAGTGTTCTTACGAGACATCGCGAGTATCTCGCACCTTCAAATGACTGAGGACTGAATTTGATCAGATGCCATCAACCTGTTTGTCATATCAGATATATGTAATTCTTTACTCCGGTTGCTGACGACGTTGAAATATTGTTAGTGCGGTCCTTTCAAATCAATATTCGGTTGTCTGACTTTACGTACGTCCACGAAAAGTCCCACTCTGTTCGTCAGTCACTTTTACAAATGACGTCTCTAGATACTCTACTCCGAAATCACAAGGCCGTTCAGGTTGTTTAAGTATCGGTCTTTGATAATACCTTAATTGAAGCGCATCCTTCAATGATCGAAAACTATCGATTTACCACGCCAGAAACAGCTATGATCGATTTTAGTCGAGTCTCCAAGAAAACAATACTGCTGACGATTCCAAATTTGTGACAAAAATTTTGGACGCTGTCCAGTTGAACTTTATCCTCTACGAATGAATTCAAAACAATTAAACTGGACTTTTGGAATAAAATCAAGTTTTTACATCATATTTAGTGGGTGGTGCAAGAATTGCAATACGAAGCTGTGGTTTAGATTTTAAAAGAATAAATAAACCATTAAGTGATGTCTGTGAGCGCGGTATCCTGCAACTTTTTTTGTCTTTTTTCATTGCCGGTTTCGTTGATTGTGTGTTTCCCATGAAAAACTGAAGAACAGCTTTCCTTGAATCGATGTTTCCGTGAGCACATCTTCAAAACTTCCATATAATATTCTAATTTCTTATAAAAAGAAAGACAATGAACAGATGGTGTAAACGCCGCAAAAAACAAAGAAACACATATTGAAAACTTGTCAAATGAATAACTCTGTTTATTAGTTTTCATTGAGAGGATTTAAAGCCTAGCATTATTAGACTTTTTCACGCGCACGCGACCTACCGTTATCAGACGAATAGAGTCAGTCACTCTGTTGCGAGTAAATCAGTTATGAATCCAAGACTATCGTTGCATAATCGCGTATTACAAGCCTAGAAAACGTCTGAGAAAGAACCGACTAAGTCTTGGAAGGATTCTTAAATAAAAAGTTTGATAAATATTTACTTTCACTTTCAGTAAAATATTGAATTTTGTTTGCCAATATTTACTGGTTTGAGTCCCATCATTGTCCCCATCTTTGTCACTATTTTTATTATTTAAAATAATAAACTTTTCATACAATGGAATGAGGGATTAACAAGACTAAAAGAGAAGTTTAATCGAAGTTTTTGAGCCAGACTCGGCCCCAACATTAACGAATCAAAAGCTTATCATTCTTTAGGATCCACCTGATCGGGAAGAGTTTAACACTTTAACTAAGATATGTTTGTTATATTACTGTGTTTGGTTTTGACTGGCCATGAGTATCTAACGATAACAACATCATTAAGGACTTGAGTAAACAAAGCTTGGAAATGAAAACACTTGAACACAAACAGCATAGTCTGAGACTAAACTCATGCACTATTCCTGTCGAGTTGGGTACAAAATCCGGATTGCTTAATAGTAATACCTGCGAAGTTTATACTAAAAAAATCACCATACTGTCCAGTTTTTTAAAGAAATTACAGCCAAATCTGGATCAGCGTGAGATATTTCATGTTTCAGTTGAGACTCTAGGCCAAACAATTGTCGAGACACCTTTGCGAAGAAAAGATTCTGTAAACTGGATTAACGGCAAGAGATCAAGTCGTAATCTTTGTCACTGCAGTGTGTACCAACGATGATTTGAAATTGCACTCTTATCTAAGGTAGTTCAAAGTCAGGGAGTAGCCTGCAGACAAAAAATCCGCGCTGTGAAGCAATTCTTTCAAGGACAATGACTTTGCAAGGGGGCAAACTGTAGTGGTTTCACAGGTTTTTTTTAGGAAAAAACACCGAGGCAATAATTTATTTTTGGCTGAAAGATTCCTAACAGTGCCGGTGCAAGGTTCAAATTTCGCAATTTCCCGTAGTTTGGCTTTGATATTGTCATCAAGGATGGAAATAGAGAAGAATTTTCTATTAAATGTTTAGACTAATATTGGCGGGACTGTGATATCAGGCATAAAAACAGCCCAAAATCAGTTGTGAAGTCCTGTAAAGAGATATGTACACGCTGGAAGTTTTCACTACAACCTGGTGTTCACCTTTGTCTTCTTTCTCCATAGCTTGAGTCATCCTTTTCATGATGAAACTACCCTGACCCTTGCGTTGTTTGTTTTGATTTTAACTCCTCTAACATAAGCTCGGCAGCTTTTTAATTCACTAGTGTGAATTGATCGTACTTTTTCATTTGACTCGAAATTATAACTTTTAGAATTTTCGTGGGTGTAAACTGAGGGGGAACAAGTTACTAAGTGCGTGGGTTCAAAGTGAACAATACTGGAGATATTACACCCTTAATTACTCAATCTGAACAGTCATTTTGCTAAAAGAGAAAGCGTTGCCTCATTACATAACATGTTGCTTTAGGGCACAGCAGGATACCTGTTTCAGTATAGATTCATCACGAGGCGAGGTCTCCGCATTTTCAAACGGGAGATATGCATGGTTAATCTTAACGGCTGGTTGACTGGAAAGGAAACGGAAAACAACCCATCACCCAATTCTCGAGTTTTCGAAGCTTGAATACCGGAAATTTAGCTTTAACCAATGCCATCTACTTCAGAAATTATTTTTCGTCAAGCAGCGTTTCACGACTTTTAGTTTAGTAGTTGTGAGAGTGGAAGGCCCAAGAGAAACCACGCCATGACAGTAAGTTTAACTAAAATAGCTACGAAGGACTTATCCTTAAAGTCAGTTTATAAATTTCTGAAGAAATCTCTAAAGAATAACGTTAAGAACAAATTGCATAGATAAAATTATTAATCAGGAGGAGGTGAAACAACTTTAAACAACAAAAGACTTAATTAACCTATATCTTCATTTACATTTTTCGTCCATCCAGACGATGCATCATTAAAAGACTTTATTACTTTAGGATTGAGTGTCTTACAAGAGAATATTCTCTTGGTATCTTTGGCCCTGTAGACCTTCGAGGAAAAAAAAGACAGTGCCTTCGATAGATGAGAGAATTCAGAGAAGGCGCGGTCGAAAATTTTCATCATCGACACGATTCTTTACGATAAATACGATTTTTGCACAAGGCATGTGATCTTTTAACTCACTTAAGCTTCTTGATGAAGTGCGTGTTCCTCTCAGTTCTACGAATACCATTCCTAAATATTCCAAGATCAGCTCAATGAGATTGCTTAGCGAAGAAAAAATTCTTTAAAAAAAAATTGTTTTTATGAATCGTGGTCTTCATATTGTCTTGGTAAACCAGTATCGTCTGAGTAACATGCAATTTGCTTTTCTCAGTCAATTGGTACCACTCTGTCTAGTCACCTTAGAAGGCCATAAAGGGAGGCAATGACGTATCTATTACTTATCATTTGTCCAATGTAAACTTAGGACTGCAGTGCACTACTGAATACAGTCACATGATTTGCCAAGATTTACACGCAAAGCAAAAATGCCGCTTTATTTGGAAAAAGCATTCTATTCGCTGACTCAAAAGAGACAATTTAAAAACGGCGAAGGAAACGAAATTATTATGGATGATCATTAGTTGTTTTCTTCATTTCTCTGCTTCGTTTCGAAGCTAATTTGATACAGGGCCTCTTTCAATTTATTGACGAGAGCTAAAACATTTTGTTACGTAAAGAATAGAGGTCTTGCGGTTCTGCGCACGCTATAAGACTTGTACTCTACTCCTTCGTCAGGAGAGGTATCAATCTGTGCAGGGGGTGGAATCTGAAGTGTGTGGGTAGTTTAGACTTTGCCTTCTTATCGTCTGCATCGTGCGGTTAATATTCACCACAGTCTTTTATCCTGATTACCCTGAAACAAGATTTGCGCTTGTTTTGAAGATGAAATGAATGTTCCATTTCGGCGAATTGACAATTTGCAAATTGTCTCACTGATCGCTTGCCTGAATATCTGCTTTCCTATTGGCTCATTTTAAGTGATTGATACTCCAACTTTATCGCGTGTAATTTAATTTATTGCCTGCAATCTGCCGGCATCGAGTTGGGTACAAAATCCGGATTGCTTAATAGTAATGCCTGCGAAGTTTACACTCAAAAACTCACATGCTGTCCAGTTTTTTAAAGAAATTACAGCCAAATCTGGATCAGCGTGAGATATTTCATGTTTCATTTGAGACTCTAGGCCAAACAATTGTCGAGACACCTTTGCAAAGAAAAGATTCTGTAAACTGGATTAACGGCAAGAGATCAAGTCGTAATCTTTGTCACTGCAGTGTGTACCAACGATGATTTGAAATTGCACTATTATCTAAGGTAGTTCAAAGTCAGGGAGTAGCCTGCAGACAAAAAATCCGCGCTGTGAAGCAATTCTTTCAAGGACAATGACTTTGCAAGGGGGCAAACTGAAGCGTGCGTGTGGACAACTTTTTCACCCCTTGAACTCTAAATTCCACGTCTTTGCCCTTGCGTAACGTATAAAAATCATGAGCTATTAGCGCGTCTTAACCATTGTCTCTGCAAAAGTTCATAAGAATTCATATGTTTGCCTCTTTCGCCGGAGTAAAGCACTACTTTATATTTCTAATTCTTTTCATTTTTACGAGATTAAGCTTTCTACAAAGCCTTGTCACGCGTGGACACTTTGCTGTGTGTGAACAGTTTGAAGCGTAATTTTTCGCGATGTGTTTCTTGACACTTCTTTTGTTCCATTGTCATCAAGGCATTTTCCAATCAATTTATCGAGCTCTGGATATTTAACCACTTGTCACCCAGCATATTATATTATGCTTTCTTTTTTTTCTTTTTGCTTCCGTCACATCTGTATTGGACCTAAGCTAGTGCAGACTAAGACATTTTTGATCGAGACGCAACAGACATCAGTAACATTCTTCACTCACAGACCACGAAGATTTAGAGCTTCAGTAGACAGATCGAGGTGAAAAAACTCTCACATCTCTTCAGTGTGCGCGCCAGACGCGTTAACAATTTGCGGCTTTCTCAAGTTCCATTAGCTTTTAGCTTTGTTTATTTACGCTGGCTTGCTTGTGTTTCAGTAAACAGCAAAGATTGAAGTGCACTCGCGACGTTCTAGAGAACCAATGCCTACAGTTATGGATAATCAGTGGTCTTCACCCAAGTTTATCACTTGTCCTGACTGCGGAGAGAGATACGACAGTGCGCACAAGAGGCGACTGATCGACACTTGTGGTCATCCGCGATGTTACTCGTGTCTTTTTGTGGATAAACCGTGCCCTTTGTGTCAAAGTAAGTACTCGGTTGTAAATACGTTTAAGTTACCGGCTGTTGATTCTAAAATACGAGCACAGTTTCAATGAGTCAGCCTTCGCAAGGAGAGACTTCCATCAGTGGGAATACTCAGTTGTTACGCACAGTTACAAAGTTACTAAGCTTATCTTGGGCCTAAGTTTTACAGAAGGTTGTAACAGAAGAGCGGAACAGAAGTTTGGACAATTAATCTAGAGCCATAGACATCCAGTTATTCCTTGGCCAAAAATTTCGCTAAAATCTCCCTGAATTTCTAGCTTAAGCTTACTGTTTTGAGTAATTTGTTTACAAACTTAAAAAATTCCAAACACGAAACAAGCGAGACTATGCGCTCAACTGACTGAGAACTGTAGAGTGTCGCTGTCATAGTCGATTTCAATACAACACAGCTTTGCAACAACAGTTGTATAAGTCTTGGTTAATCAGCCGTTTTATTACATATTTATTACTGAGTTGTTATTCGTCCTACCAATAAATTAGAAAGAGTTCTTGTCGTTGTGTGTGCAAAGCAGTATATAAACGTTAGGCTCTGTGATAACGCATTGAAACTACTAGAGTCAAAAAGCGCTTTGTTAGGAGAAAGTTGAGTACTGAAAAGAACAAGTGGCATATTTTGCATTCTCGATTTGGAAGTTTAC